GAATTTTGTTCGTATCTGAAAAAAATCTTAGAATACGAAAACATTGGTGAATGTCACAAATTCTCCTAAATCACTCGTACGCACAACTTAAGAACAAATCTGTGCGTACGAACGGTTCTTGCATGAGGCCTATTGTTATCAATGGAGCTCAGATTAACAGGGAGTTCATTCCAGAGCCTGGGGGCCACAGAGGAGAAGGACCGGTCACCACAGGTCTTTAAGCGAGTGAGGGGAACCATGAGGAGATGTTGATCCTGTGAGCGGAGGTCTCTTCTGGGGTTGTAAGGTTAAATGAGACTTTTAATGTAATCAGGTGCTTGGCCATGAAGAGCTCTGAAGGTGAGGACCAGGATTTTGAACCTGATTCTGAACTGAACCAGAAACCAGTGAAGTTCTGCTAGGATCGGGGAGATGTGGGTGAATTTGGAGGTTCAGGTTAGGAGTCTTGCTGCAGAGTTTTGGACAAGCTGAAGACGATTTAACTGTTTCTGGTTTAGACAGGTGAACAAGCTGTTACAATAATCTAAGCAGCTAGAAATGATGGCATGAATTACCATTTCCAAGTCTGAAGTGGACAGCAGGGGCCGGAGTTAATTGCTRGTTCTTAGTTAAGGTAGTAAAATATAGCTAAAAGCTACAAATGCTAGCTAAAAGGAGAAAACCACTATAAGTTATGAATAGTAAACCTTTATCTAAAGGTGAACAAAACCCTAAGCCTAACCACCCCTAACCCTAACCCCTAACCCTGACCCTAGCTAAAAGTTAATACAATTTAATAGCTAACAGAAAAAACTGCTAGCCAGAAACCAAAAAGACAAAATACCATATAAATGCATAAGTGCTAATATAAAAAAGCAAACTTGAGCAAAAAAACACGCTGATGAACAAAATCTGAAAGAAAATATTCTAGGTAGAAGCTAAAAAATTAATACAATCTAAAAAAAATAAAGCAAACTGTGAATTTGAAAGGAGTAAAACATTATTAAAAACCAAAAGCTTTGGCTAAAAGCTTCAAGAAAGTAGCTTAAAGTTAAAAGTAACCAGTAGAAGAACTTAATAACTGAGTTATACACAGTTTTAAGTATTTAAAGGGACTTGTTTTGGTGATTCTTACATACGGAAGAGGATTAGGGCCACAGAAAAAAAATTTTAAAAAAGAATTCTGACTTTAATCTCAGAATTCTGAGTTCTGAGATTAAAGTCAGAATTCTGAGAAAAAAAGTCAGAATTCCTTTTTTTTTTAAATTTTTTTAGTGGCCCTGATCCTCTTCCGTATTTTCTTATACATACAAACATTAAATTTTCACATCCTCTAAGCAGACATGATTATCAGCTCCCCTGGGAACCACTGCTTTACATTAACTGTGTTTAAAATCAAATAATTTCTTCTAGTTAGTTTATAATGGTGATAAATCAGATGATGTACCTATACCAGGTGGCAGGGCACCGTGCTGCTCAGGATCCATCAGAAACGTTGGTAAATGGGTTCCCAGCTCTTTCTGTAGGCACTGAAGCAGGAGGCTTTGAGGAACAAAAGATAAAAAATAAAACATTATACAGTTTTTAATCTGATTTAAGCTGTAAAAATCAGATCATTTTATTCTCATGCAAAGATATTTTTATTTCCTAACAGTTTTCATAGCAGAAATGTTCAAATCCTCTGATAAGAAAAAAACATATCCATTTAATTCTATCTGTAATGTTATGCATGTTGTGATATTATCAGACCTACAGGATGCATCAGAAGGTGTTGTGACGAAACTTCAACATTTCTTATCAGATGAGAAAAAACTGAAAACTGTCTTCAGGGTCAATGAATCAGATTTTGAATGGTTTTGTGAAACGCACAAAGAGCTCTGAACTAACTAATCCTGGTGTGCGAGCTGTACCTGTATGCTCTGTGCACCAGGTGGGACAGGTCCAGCTGACTGTGCTGAGTCAGCAGGCTGAGGTCTTGGTCATGTTTGAGGAAGTTCAGCAGCTCAGAGAAATTGGCCATCCAGAAGGTGAGTGCCCCAGGGACGGTCTGCTGTCTCTGCAGATTAAACACAGACTGTGAGGTGTTTAACCAGGTGTGTTCTGGGTTATTAATGGAAGCATCACAGAGTGGGTCCAAGCATTAAAGCACCTGCTTTTTCCTCTGCCAGGTATCTCTGGAACATATTCACACAAAACATCAGGAATATTGTGTTATGATTTCAAGAGGTTTGTCACCGTGAGATAAAACAAATGATGGATGTTAATTTTGAGTTGGATTTAAGAGAAAACTCATGGAGCGCTATAACAGAGACAGACTTCACAGAAACATTATTTAAAGTTTAAACAGGTAACTGTAGTGTCCAAGAGTGGGGGCCTCTTCTCAGGAATGCACAGATGTGTTATGTCTCTTAGTCTCCACCTTTCGAGCTCGGCACACATTATCGTATTAGGAAAAGGAACGCTTAAGGATTACCGTGACAAAATTTATGATGCCTCTGTTGAACTACACTGTGAAACCTACAAAGAGGCTTGTACGCCCCCACCCTTGGCCTTCATCCTTCTTACTTGGTGAATCATTTGGCTTGGAGGTCATAATTTGGTTTTTGGCTGTAATCTCCTGGACTGCAAAATAAAGATCCTTGCTGTTCAACCAGCCTGTTTCAGAGTTCCTCTCTGCATTGAGCAGCAGCAGTTCTGCAGAACCAGAAGACGTGGTTTTACACCTCATAACAATGGGCCTCATGCAAGAACCGTTGGTAGGCACAGATTTGTTCTTAAGTTGTGCGTACGAGTGATTTAGGAGAATTTGTGACATYCACCAATGTTTTCATATTCTAAGATTTTTTTCAGATACGAACAAAATTCAGGAGTGGTCCAGACCTGTCGTATATTTTCCCAGCAGTCAGTCTGCTGTTATCC